GTTGTTATAATTTTTATACGACGATAGAATGATAAGTCTGAGAGCGATTGATCATCTCATCGAATATGGACAAAATAAAATTGATATTTTGTGTACGATGTATTGAATATAATTATAATTAATACACTGCTCAAAAAAATTATAGCAGGAGTGCATTAAATTAAAAATCAACCCATAGTACTTTAAAGTAGAGATTTCAAGCTTTAATTTAGAAAAAAGTTCATCATCATACGATAATTTTTCGCGGAGTTACCGTTAATCAAAGTTGATCAATTTTTGCCAAAACTTTTCTATGTCATAATTTTTTTGAACATTGTATATTACAGTTGTTTTATTTGTTGTAAAGTATTTTTGAGAAATAAATTTCGGAATATAAATAGTGTTATTGATTACCTTGAGCATGACTTGGTTTCCGGACCAGCAATAAATATAAATTTGTACAAACATACAAATTGTATACGCCACCAGCGTTGAAGATTCGTTCGAAATATGCGTCAACATGTAAAGTACAGTTGTGCATAATATCAAGACGCTACTGAAGAATTGTACGAAGAGCACCTGGTTGAATATAACGTTTACCGTTTTGGCGTATCTGAAATGACGTTATGTTAATTCTGTATTTCAAATAATGCAGGTATCGTATTACATATGATTTTTCAATTCGTAAATTATTAAGAGTAAATATCAAGGAAACTCGAATATTTTTACTTTTTATTTAATTCTAAGTAAAATTAGATTTTTCTAAAAACTTAGTTTTTTACAGAAATAAACTCAGTTTGGAAATGTTATTTTTTAAATCATTTTTAGCAGTTATTTGATATCTTCAAATAAATGCGTTATTTTATAATTTCGTGATAAACAATTTTTTTATAATATCTATAATCATGGATATTATTCTATCAATAATTTTTATTATTGTAAGTTGTTGATTATTATGGTTTAATAGTTAATTGCGAATTTGTAGATACAACAGATAAATTCATATATTTAACAAGAATATAAATAATAGAATCATAAAAGCTAGAATACGTTTGTATTAAAGATTAAAAGTAATATTATACATATATCTTTCTGTGACTAACTTGTAAATGCTGAGATGATGACGTATATATTTCGATATCATTATTTTATCTTCATTTGATGATACAAGTGAATGCTCTGTATACTTAGTTGTTTTATTAGTTACCAGTTTGTGTAGACGATCTTCAAAAATTTCAAGCTGGGCGCACGTTTGTAAAAATAATCCGAAAACTAGAGTTTCCGTGCCAACATTTATGATAGTGGCGAATATTACAGCTATGATCTGGTGAATGGATATAATCCAGAACACTAGAGGTATGTTATAATCATATGGTACCCATGCTCTATAGGGTAATTGACCCTGTATAACATTTTGCACTGATCTTATTGTTCCACCCATAAGAGAAGCCATTGCCAAAAGAAAATATTTTATAGACCATGATCTGCAAATGTAGAAAATGTAGAAAATTGGGATTCTACTCTGTAAACTTTCATCTTCCATTTTTATAACAAATAAAATCCGTTCGTATATTATATATATCGACCTTATAAACTCATCAAATTTCGTTTGTATCATCTTCTCATCCCCATTTTGAGGTTTACAAGGTGCCGTCAACAAATCTTGTATCAAATTACTGATAGCATCCCGGCGTATCACAACGAGAGTGGCTTTGCATGTGACAGTAACGATACTCGCAAATATTAAGGAATTTGTTGTAAAATCATCGATATTATCGATCACAAGCAGGATATCCATAAATTGACTTAACACCAAAAAGTATTCCAAGAATAATACAACACTTGTAAATATGTTATACAGTAGCTTGGCACCATTCGATAACCATTCAACAGGCCGCCATATGCCAGCGAAGGTATATATTAAAAAATTGAAAGATAGTATTTGCATGATTACAAATAACTTGTACACGAAATTATAATACTTTCCTACCTGTATCTACAATATTTAGAAAAATATTTCGAAGACACTACCAAATCTTCTCTAGTACATTGAGTAATTGTTGCGAATTAGATGTGTGAGCAGTGTGATGATCTTTTAAGAGAAATCCAAGTTTAATATCGAACATTGATACACTAAAAAATATTAAATTAAAAAACAAAAAGTGATTCAAGCTCCGATAATTAAAATTTAAAATTAATAATAGTATAGGACAATTAAGGAGCCAAGCTGGATATTCGTGCTAATAAATTATATTAATCAAAAATAATTACATACGGTAATTTATTATAACTAAACGATCGTTTCGGCTTGGCATCAAGTACTCTTCAGTGGTCTTTTACTATTAAATTATTAAATTATCGCATAACCACCACCGAGTAAAGATCATTATCGTTTCCTTCGGATCTTGGTACATTTTTGACTTAATCTCCATCCTACCATTATTTCCAAGTATGGCAAGGTTTAAGAATGTAATGAAAATTCATGGATTAAAGTGATACACGACAAAGAATCCTCACCGTTCTCGACAGTTGTAATGGAAACAATTTCATTGGACTAATACAATAAATCTAATTAAGGAACATCGACGACCTTAACTATCATTTTATGTAACCGACGAATATGACACACGCTTTTAATAATTTATAAAAGACCACTGAGGAGAGCTTGATGTCAAGCCGAAACGATCGTTTGGTTGTAAATTACCGCATGTATAATCATTTTTGATTAATATAATTTATTAGCACGAATATCCAGCTTGATTTCTTGTCCTATATTATTATTAATTTTAAATACCAAAATATCTAAATTTACTAAAAATTTTTCAGTAAATATGTATGGAAAATACCGTGTAAGATATTATGAGATGGATAGATTTCACGTGTACATTTTACGGTATTCGCATCTCATATACTTAACATCGATTTCGATCCTTTGTCTGTGCGATAAGTTTTATTCTTGATAAAAAAAGAAGAGCTACTTAGAGTCGGAACGCAAATATGTTGCATAAATATTAATGTCATTAATAACTGTTGCGCGTGGATAACACGAATTTAAAAATAGCTAAATTATCGTACAACATACAGACAACATTAAAAGTTTTGATACGTTCTGAATTAATTTTCTCAGTGGCAAATGAAATTATTAAAAGATTTATTCACCAACGAAAGAATAAATATAAGTATTTCGTATTCCAGAAAAAGAGAGAGAGTAGAGAACGCCAATGATATGTATTATATAATTGGTGAATGAAAAACTTAAGTCTGACAATATAAATGATTCTTTGAAGCAAAATCAGATGAAATTTTAAGTGATAAATCTATTTAGCACTCTCTCTCTCAAATAAGCGCGATCCAACAGCACTGTAACTTGCTTTGTAAGTTCAAGTCATGATTCTATCAAATATAAAAGTCTCATTACGAACAAGGTCGTTTTCTGTACTTATTACAGCATATATTATTTAGTTGTTCTTATAATCGTCCGTATCGGAACAATCACTAGCGACAGAAATATTTGTGAAGCAACAACTATATGTTCTGATTACAATTTTCCTTTTTTTTCTCTTATTGTAAATTTTTATCGAAAAATTTTTTCGTTCCATCAATTTTGTTTTTTTAAGGTATGTATGTATGTATGTACGTGATACTGAAATGATAGTCGAACTCCAAAATACCGTTGTTTTACCGATGCTGTTTGTGCATATGTGTGCGATATTAATATAGTAGTGCGTAAATGTTTATACTGATATGTTGATTACAACTACATTTGATATCGCACGCATATATATACAATAATATTTTCAAATCGTTCTCTTATATTAAAGAACCTAGGCTCATCAGTAAAGCACAGTACTATTCTTTCGTGTAATTTTTACACTGGCAACTACTTCTTTCATACGTACAAAGTCTGAAACTTTTATACGCAGCACATGTTGTCGCAAGTCGACTGCAGAAGTTGATATAATTTTTTAATTTTCTTTCGTTTTTTGTATCGAAATGTATAAGTATAGCCGTTGTATGTTATTGTCAACTTGCGTACTTTAATTCTTGAAAGGGATTTATAATTCTGTGAAATCAATGAAAAGAACGAATAATTTGAAAATAATCACGTTCCTGCATCAGTAAACCAGACCTACGTTCAACATGCAGAACGCATATAACGTTATCGCATAAATTGAGAATCAAACAATATTACTTGACTGTAATATATAACGTAATGTGTAATATATGTCAAAGCAGATGAGAAAGACTGCATGTATAACATTCGTCGCGTATTTTTTTTCAAAATGTCGTTTCTCACATTTTTTACAATGCAATAGCATTAACTCTATGTGTTACTACTATGAGTTGAGAGACTCAAGCAGATCGAAAAATAATTTTTTCCATTATACAAAAATTCTTGTCTTAAAAAGAATGTACAACTTCTTTCCTATTTATGGCTCCAAAATAAAATTTATGTAATTTGCTTAAACTGCAGACTTTGGCATTTTGATTAAAAAGAAGAGACAATAAGATATTAATTAAAGTTTGCCTGAAATATGAATAGATAAAGGTTTATCTAGATTTTTCACAGAGCCATATACGTATAATAATAACGACGTAGACAAAAATAATAGGTAGTAACCTAGAGTTAATAGACACTGCAAATAGATGACTGTAACTTATTTCACTATATCGTAGAGAGATAATTAAATTCCAACTAAATGTGTAATCGAACACGTCTCACAGTCGACTATACACTGTTTTCTTGCTTCAACTTCTTAACCCTAGTACCATTAATTGCGTTCATTAGCCTGCATTTATTAATCATTCATTAACCAGCATGAAGTCGCGCGTTCATTAATTACGATGCACGTTGTTTTCCACTTCGTTGTGAATGCTATAATTATAAATATCCTCTTACTTACAGGGGACTGGTGTCTTTTACGGTCTTTTACACATATTGTCATATTCCCATCGAATGAAATATTTGTATGCTTTTTCATATCATTAGCAGGCAATTTAACGGAAGATCATATTTCCTGCGTATGACAAAGTCTTATTTTATTGCATAAGAACATATGACAACGAGAGAGAGAGAGAGAGAGAGAGAGAGAGAGAGAGAGAGAGAGAGAGAGAGACGACATTCTAAATATTTTCCAAGTTAATCGCACATTTGTTCTCCAAGTATGATGAATGAGTTGGAAGACTGGATTATTTGTGATAACCCCGCAAAAAAATAGCGCAGGTAACGTATAAAAAGTATTTACATTTTTCAATATTCAATTAAAACGCTTGATTCAAAATGATTTTTGCTTGTATGTTAAGATATAATATGTATTAGATTGTGTTACATTTATTGTTATATGTAGGGAATTAATAGGAAATAAGGCCGAAGTAAAAATGTGTGTAAACAAAAGTTATAAGATTCAGAGTCGCTAATTTATCAAAACTACATCATTATGTGCTTAAAGATATTTCAGTTTTTTATATTTTACTGTTGTAACACGTTAAATGCCGAGTATGACGTTTTTAAGATCTGAAAGAAAAATTAGAAAAATTTTAATATACAGAAGATTATGAACTTATGCAAGATTCCAACGTATTTTCGCGCGTTCGTATAGCGTATCTATAATATCACAAATAACGTACTTTCTTTTATATCTGTACTTGTATATGAAATACTTATATTGATATCAAAGTAACAACGATACTAACACTGGTATAAGATTGAAGAGATAAAGTTATCAAGAAACTGCTAGTGAACTTTATAGGAACTGTACTACGTATCATAATCATCAGCAATCCTTTTTTTTCGTTGATTGATAATAATGGCCAATCCATACGATATATTGTGTCTGCTATACTCATACTCTATTAACGTGACATAAAAATAAAGTTATTATTACATAATGATATATCGAATAATTTTGATATTATTGGTTTTACACAGCTGCACGCGTACGCATATTTATATTTATTTAATTTTATTGCGCACGAATAAGAGGATACAGTGTTAGCAAACTATGATATAATTAATAAAATTAACGCAAATGGCGTGGCATCAGCTTAACAGCTGTTGTGAAGCCTTTCAGATCAGCTAATCATAAAATACGTAACATGGCGAATAATTGAATACGGACATATTATAACATTAACACAAAATGATAGTATCGCAGTTAATATTAATGCAGATCAACATATTAAACACGAAGAAACATAAATGGAAACACATATATACGCGCAAATACAGCGGCACGGACAATGCAACGAGCATACTATAAAGGAAAGAGGAAGATGCTTTTATGAAGGGTAGAATTTTGAAGTATTTTGCAGCATGAATTACCTTAAGTATTACTTCGTTTCCGGACCAGCAGTAAACGAAAATTTGTGCAAACATGCAAATGGTGTATACTAATAGAGACGCAGTTGCAGACAGTTCTCTAATATGCATTGATAAGTAATACACACTTGTACATAATACCAATATGCTACCAAAGAATTGAACGAAGAGCACCTGGTTGAATATAACGTTTACCCTTTTGGCATATCTGTAATGATTTCATGTTAGTTTAGACTTGCATTGCATATAAATAGAACAATTAGTACTTTGATGTATAATTTTATAATATAATTCTTATAATTTGAAAAATTGTATAAAAATTTTAGAGCATGTTATTTAAAACTCAAACTAGGATGGTTCTAAGCATCTGCTTGTACTTAAATTTAATTTTTATTATCCTGTACAATTTATCACGAAATCTATCTATATAATTAAATCGCCTTGAAAACACTTTGTTTTTAAGCTCATAATAATGGCTATTAATTCCAAATAACGTCAATTATATTATCTCTTATTTTTAAACAACTTTTCGTCATTAACATCAATAATTCGCTTATTGTTATAAATAATAGCAGCTTTTAGATATGACAAATATATTGTGTACTGCAGCACGCATACACATATATGTATATAGGTATAGGTATAAAGAAAATATTGAAATGTGTGCATAAAAACAGATTCTTACGTGTCTTACTTGTAAATACTAAGATGATGATGTATGTATTCCGATATCCCTATTTTGTCTTTATTTGACGAAGAGAATGTGTGTCCCAAATATTTAACTGTTTTATTAATTATGAATTTGTGAAGACGATTTTCGAAAATTTCAAGCTGAGCACACGTTTGTATAAACAATCCGAAGACTAGAGTTTCTGTGCCCACATTTATAATAGCGGCAAAAATTAAAGTTATAATTTGATGAATAGATACAGTCCAGAATATCAGAGGTATATTGTAATCCCATGGCAGCCATATTCGATAAGGTAAATGACCATGCATAACATTTAGTACTGATCCTAGAGTGAGACCTGTAATAGAGCTCGTTGCTAAAAGTGAGTATTTTATCGAGCATGATCTGCAAAAGTAGAATCAAGATTTATTTTTACATTTACCTTTATTACCATTGTTTAATACTTTTAAGTCACACAAAATTTATAATTTTAAGATTTAAATACTATTCTATATATATGTTGTGTGTACTTGATAATATAAAATGATATATAAACATCTTTTTCAACAGAAAGACGTTTATTAATTAGACTGAATATTTTAAAAAATTACTGCATTTTAATATAGAAATGATAATATATGATTAATAAAATTTAATAAGAGGTAATGAGCTCATAATTTATGTTAAAGAAACATCAGCAGTAATATCAACAGTAATATCAACAACCAATACTGATAAAATTCAAATGATTTAAAAATAATACGTTCTAATTTAGAAATAGTACGAGCCTATTAAGTACAGCATTGCTTAAATATTTTTAAAAAATATTAATTAATATTTCCAACTATAACTAGAATATTGCAATATTGTAACATTTTTGCAATATAGCTGAAATGTTATTATATTACCGCAACATTGCCGTTATAATCTGTCTTTCTGGATTGAGATGTTTTAATAAAGATATAGATTCACCTGATAAATTTATCAAATTTTGTTTGTATGGCTACTTCGTCCTTATCTCGAGGTTTATACGGTGCTTTCAACAATATTTGCATCAAGTTGATGATCGCATTTCGACGCATTACAACAACAGTCGCTTTACAACAAACGGCAACAATAGTGAAAAACATTAGAGTATTAGTGACAAAATCATTGATATTATTAACAACGAAAATAATATCCATAAATTGAGTTAACACCAAAAAGTATTCCGAAGATATTATAATAAAGGTAAATACATTA